TATTTTCTTCCTACTTGGAAAACTATGAGGAGAAGGTTGCTTGATGAACACAGAAACTCTACGTATGAGTACAGTAGGCATTCAGTGAGTGTTAAAGAATCGCTTTGATAGCCCCCTTCAACATCTATATTACTAAAAGAAAAACATTGTGAAATTAACCTTGATAAGTGTCTCATCCAAACAATGATAATTTTCCTTTCTCTCAATTCCATATGGACCCCACGCCAACATTTAAATTTGTTTTCTACCTAGTTATACCACCTTCAAAACAAGTTTTCCAGTGTTTTTAATAAAAATTTCAACTCTTAACCTATGAAAAAAAGTAAAACAAATAACACTAATTCAGTGTTCAGATTCCCAAAAGGGAATCCCCGTTCTGACCAAGCCTTCTCCGTTTTTGTTAACTCATGACATTTTTCTTGATCCCCTTTCTGGGCTGGGGACTTATAAATCTTCTATTTACTTATTGCCAAATAACATGCCTTTCATTTAAACGTATTAAACACTTTTTATATTTAACTTACATGAATTTGTACTTAACTGTATTTACAATTATTGATTAGCCATATTTTATCTCCATAAAAGAAATAAAATTTTAATGACTATGTGGTTTAATCTAGAGAACATCCTTCTGTAGACATTAGCAGATATACACTGTGCTCTCTCTGTTTTTTCACTTTAAAAATTAAGTTTAATAAATGTAATTTATTTTCTACCATGTCACTTCGCATGTTCGTTTTCTAGTATTTAATAATACATTTCAAAGTATAAAGTATGGCTTCTGTATCAAGTCACCACAGAAGGTCAAGAATCTAGCTTTATATCCTGTACAGTACCTTTTGCATACAGTGGGAGAGAAATAACATTTTTAATGAAGGATTAGATAAATAATGTAAATGGGTACTACCTGAATCTATTCCACTAGTAGTTAAAAGCCCCTACCTTAACTTTATCTTGACTACTCATCTAACCGTAGAAGTTCAGTCTTGCTGTAGCCTCCCAGAAGAGAGATTATGCAGAAAAAAATATATTTGACTATTAGGAAGAGGACTTTTACTGTAAATAAACGTGGTATCTCCCTCTTTAGTCATCCTCCTCCACTATCAGTTGTGTCGGCTTGCGAGTAAGCACCTCTTTTGTTGCCAACTTCAACCCCATTTCATTTTTAAATTCTCAGAAAGCTTCAGTAGAAATTCTTAAACTTTCAAGAATGCTGCTAAAGGCAGAGTTTTGTCCGCATCACATACTCATTGAGCACATGCGTATCTCTGTAAATGTGTGTAAAAGAAAAATAGGAAACCTATTTTATTAGACTTTCATAAATGTGAAATTTTATGCTGTTTTGTATTTCATTTTTCTCCAGGCAGAAATACTCAGTGTCCTCAGTCACAGAAACATCATCCAGTTTTATGGAGTCATTCTTGAACCTCCCAACTATGGTATCGTCACAGGTAGGAACTCATTATTTGACTTCTTTCTTCAGTTTCATAGCTTTGGATTTCTTAATGTGCTAAAATGTTTAATATTAGGTTCAGTCATGAATTGTGTGCTACTGTCAGATGTCACTTTTGTTGCTATAAAGCATTAATAAAACTGATTATATCAATATAATTAAGAATGGTGTTTCCACTTCTACCCATGTTTAATTGTGCTAATTATATCTGTGTAAATGCCATTTAAATGCACTCGCAGCTGCAATACCAATATTTAAAGGTGCCGTTTAACTAAAATTTCATTTAATTAGTTGAAATGAGCGATGTTTTTTTGTAACTCTGTGACCTTTTACAAATTAAGATTTCTTGAGCTGTTCATGTTGTAATTCTTTGCAAGGCATTTTAGTCCCTTTAGAGCATTCTTTCTTCAAGGTCTCTGACATGAGAACAATATTTTCAGGTTTGGTCATCTGGGTTGGTAATGACCTTGATCTAAATTATCACGTAATTTGGAACAGCAGTTTATAACTGGTAGAAATATTCTTTCCAAAAAGTAGCACATAGAAAATTTTGCCATATAAAAACACAGAAAGATACAAATTTTTTAATACTTTATACTCATATTTATACAATCCAATGAGCAGCTTTAAGCCTATAATAAGTATAATGTTCAATTTTATAATAATTTACCATGGAAGTTCTTTGATTAAAACAAAACAGACAAGAAAACCTTAAAAGATGAGCCCTGTCTTCAGTCATTGTGGTAAGAACTTGGATTGTCTTTATAGAAAATAACAACTGAACACTCTCAGTTGAAATGATTGGATTAAGTATTTTCTTATAAGTTATTTCATCTAATACTTACAATAACTATGAGATAAGTAAAATGATTTCTATTTTGCAAATTAAAAATCTAAAACTCTAACTTAAGTAACTTTCCCAAGGTCACCCAGCTAGTGCTAGAACCACAGCGGTAGGAATTTCTCTGATTATGTATAGCAGCTCTTTCTTGCCTGCAAGCTCTGAGCACATTGATTCTTAAGTTCAAAGAGGCATGGTTGCTGTTGCTTCCATCTACTGATGGCAGGCATTTTAACATGCTTTTACTCTGATAAATAGCATTTTTACCAAAGTTCTTAAGTTGAGGGTGTTTTATCCCCAATTAACTATATTTAGATCTATGCCTAAAATGAGGTATATGGCAGCTTTCATCTTGAACCTGTATATTTCCTATTAACTTGAATACCCAAGAATGGGTTATATTGTTAGAGTGTAAACCATGCTTAACCTTGTAGGTCAAATTTCTGATTTAAAGTTAAACCCTGTCTCTGACCCAGTTATCATATCGCTCCTTGTTTCCTAATCCATTGTATTTACTTTTTACTGGCTATGTTTACCTTATAAATCTGAATCCAGTTTTCTGATCTTCATTTGTGGCTTAAGTTATTCTTATCTAGTATAGATGAAAGTGTGATACTCCAAAGAGATGAAAAACTCTGCTTCTTGTCTTGTACCCTTTATGTTTAATGCTTTTGAGGGGAAGATTTAGTTTTAACTAACTCAGTAGACTATTCATTAAGTTTCCTAGCTTCTTGAGGTGAGTACAAAGAGTAGAAAAAGGGACTTAAGTTATGGCATGAATCCTTTTTCCAAGAGTTTATTTTCAGTCCCAAGGAGATGTGAAACACACTCATTCTTAGCCAGCATATTCAAACTGGGTCTTCTCATCCAGAAGAGAAAGAAAGAGTCCAGGTAGTTGGGTGAGCAAGTTTGATTTTATTTAGTATTTTAGTAGACTAGCCAGTCCTTTATTTCATGCACTCTTCTAGCATTACCAGCTCATACCTATACCTACCCCAAAATCTTTGGTTATCTGTGATTAGTTCTTTTTAGATCTATATTTATTTCCCTATAGAGTCTATAAGTAAACAACTGTTAACAATAAACATTTCTGTAAAACAACACAAATTTCAGAATTTGAGGTATTAGTAAATTTTGTATTGATAGCTCATTTATTGACCTATAAGGTTGATTATTCAAGACACCTCGTAGCCAAGTTTTGATTTTTAAAATGTATTAATTTGATAAGATTGTCTTTGTTCCTAAAGATGCTAGTTTTAATTGTTTGTTTACAAGTATCTACCAAAGAAAGACAGGAACTTTTCAACTAACCCTCTGCAGCATTAGGATCATGCTATGTTCTAGCAGCACATATGCCAACTGAACCAAGTTTGGGAGATCAGATGAGTTGGAAATGATAGCACTTACCTTGCCTCTTGAAATAAGCACATTGGATTTAACATGCAATGATATCAAAGCATCCATATGTTCAGAGAATGAAAAGAAACTGTTTAAAGAATTAAAAGAAAGTAAGAAAATAATAAATCAACCAAATGAGAATCTCATATAATAGATAGAAATTATTATTATTTTTAAAAGGACCCAGTGGAAATTCCAGAGTTGAAAAAGACAATAATTAAAATAAAAATAATTCTCTAGAGTTTACCTAACAGCAAATTTGAGATAGCAAAAAAAAAATCAGTGAACTGAAAACCAGGTCAATAGAACTTATCCAATCTGAAAAAGTAAAAAATTGAAGAAAAATTAACAGAACCTCAGAGACCTCTATGGGACCACATCAAGTATACCAATTAATGCATAATAGAAAGGAGAGAAGAAGAGGTGTGGAAAGTATAAAAATAGAAAAATATTTGAAGAAATAATGGCCAAAAAAACTTTCTGAATTTGCTAAAATACATTCATCTACATACTTGAAAAACTTAATGAATTCCAAGTAGGATAAAGGCAAAAAAATGCACACCTAGACACATCATAATCAAATTGTTGATAAAGACAAAGTGAAAATTCTTGAAAGCAGCAAGAGAAAAACAACGTCTCATATACAAAGCAACAACAATATCACTGATGGCTGGCTTCTCATCTACAACAATAGAGGTCAAAGGCAGTAGACATCTAAAGTACTAAAAGAAAAAATTGTATCCAGCAAAATTATCTTTTAAAAATGAAAACAAAGTAAAGACATTCTTGGAAACAAGATAAGAGGGGCCGGTCGAGTGGTTCAGTGGTTCAGCGAGCTCAAGAGTGCGAGCTCTGAGCAACAAGGTCACCCGTTTGATTCCTGGCCTGAGCTGAGTTGCCGCTGAGCTGCCAACAGGTGGCAGGATGGCTCAGCTAAAAAAAAAAAAAGAAAGAAAAAGAAAAAGTATAAGAGAATCTGTTGCTAACAGTCCTGCCTTACCAGAAATACTGAAGGAAGTCCTTTGGCCTGAAAGAAAGAAAAAAAAAATGACAACAGTAGTAATTAAAATCCATGGGAAGAAATAAAGGGTACTAGAAATAAGAAATATATGGGTTAACATAAAAGACTCCATAAATATATTCGTTCTCATTTCTTCTCTTAACATCTTTAACTCTTTCACTGAGTTGATTTCAAGTTTTTTTTTCAAAATGTGTCAAAAATCCGCAAAAAATACAAAGTTGATGTTTTGACTATTTTATGCATGTAATAACATTTTGAGCTGCTTTGTACATAAATAACATTATTTTTGTTTTAAACCTTTGTTATATGGTAATAAATTTACCATTATATTGAATTTTACCAAAAAATACTCAAAACATACTAAATGGCATCAATTAGATTTAAGTATAGATAAATTAGAATCTAATGGCATTGATAACATAAAAAATTATTACAAAATGTTACACAATGTGGAATACAAAACATGTTCGTTGTTGATAGTGCAAGCCACAGGAAAACATACCCAAACGTTGCAGCAAAAGAGTTAAAAATATAAGATTGTATAAAACATAATTATAACACTGTTGACTGTAAAGCATGTATACATATTTCTATTACAGTAATAGCATAAGGGATGAAGGAGGGAACGGAGCTAATTTGTAGGAAAGTTTCTATATTTTACTGTAATTAAGAGTATTAATCTGAAGTAGACTGTGCTAAATTAAGATGCATTTTATAATGCCTTGAGCCACTACTAACAAAGTCCACTCAAATATAGTAAAACATCCCCTAAGGAATTAAAGTGATAAATTTAAAATATTAACACAAAAGAGGGCAATAAAGAAGGAATAGAGAGCTGAGAAGGACAAAAGACATATAGAAAACAAGATGGCAAATGTAAATCCAACCATATCAATAATTACATTAAGTGTGAATGGTCTAAGTACCCCGATCAGTAGACAGAGATTGTCACACTGGATAAAAAAGCAAGATCCAACTATATACTATCTACAAGAGACACAACTTAGATTCCAAAATACCAATAGGTTGAAAATAAGAGGATGGAAAAATATATACCTTGTGAGCAATAACCATGAGAACTGGAGTAACTATATATGTTAATTTCAGAAAAAATAGACTTAAGAACAGAAATATTACTAGAGCCAGTAGGGTCATTTCATAATGATAAAAATATCAATACATCAGGGAGATACAGCAATTGTATATGTATATACACCTAACAACAAGTCCTCAAAGTACATGAAGTGAAAACTGACAGAATTTAAAGGAGAAATAGGCAATTCAACAATAACTGATTTTAGCATCCCATTCTCAATAATTCATAAACAAAAAAATCAACAAGGATATAGATTTAACAAACACTGTCAGCCAGGTCTACCTGACTCACATACATATAGGACACACCACCTGACAAATAATGCATAATCTTTTCAAGTGCATGTGGAACAGTCTCCAGGATATATCATAAATTAGACCACAAAGTGAATCTTATTATACCTAGAAGGATTGAAATAATGCAATCTGTGTTCTCCAGCCACAATGGAATTGTTAGAAAACAACACCAGAAAGAAATCTGGAAAATCCCCAAATATTTGGAAATTAAACAATACACTTCTGAGTACCCAGTGAGTCAAGAAGAAATCAAGATGGATTTAAAGATATTTGGGGCAGAGAAAAAATGAAAATGTGACATATCAAAATTATACAGTGCAGATACAGGGAAATGTATAGCTTTACA